ATGGCATTCAGGGGTGTCCAAAACGTATGAATTCTCGCAGAGAAGGAAAAAAATTGGCAAATTTCTTTTTGGAGTCAGTGCAAAAATTTTAACATGTTTTATACAATCTGTAAATTACAATATCTGATTCTATATTCTTTCGAGAAAAAAACAGCGTTTATTTCGTTCGTTTATCACAGAAATTGCAGAAATAGGAGCAAATTTAGTAAGTGACTACAGTTTTTACGATTTTCTAAACGCGGGCATTTAAACAATTCCGTACGGCAGCCACAACCGGAATTTAAAGGGCCGTAGGATAAAGGTTAATCTTTGACTTGTCCCATATCATGTATAATGATTCATGGATGAAATAAAATTGAATTGAATTGAATTGAACTGGCAATTATGGAAAGTAATTAATTGCATTTTATCTTTAGGTTGTCAAATTATTCTGAAAAAGGAATATGAAGGAATGGAATTGCAGCTGCCACAAGCAACTAGAAATTTTTATGTTGATGGCCACAAACCATCCCCTCATTGAGCAAGGAGATTGATGCAGCACATCAGTTCAGTGGACAGTGAGGTCATTGAACCTACATTTGTTATGACTTGTGTGACTATTGGCTGCTGGAGCAGTGTGATAGGCAAAAGGCTTATTAATCTTGTGCATTTTTATTGTAGTTATTTTTACTGACTATTAGTGATCTTAATGCCATTTATATTCCACTTTCTTAGATATATGTCAAACATTGCTGATATTCATTTACATACATATATATGAGTGAAGTTAATTATTCTATAAACAAAGTAAAGGTGAAATTAACTGATAAAAAATGTAAATAGTATTATACCATGGAAGTTAAATGTAAACTGAACTTATCTGCAATAATACCAGGAGTTTGATGTAATTAGAATTTTTTTTTTCCCTATAATGTCTGCTTGTGAGAGGAAAGAAAGATAGTAACCATTTCTCCATATGTATTTGCTCCTCTCTTATGCTGTATTGTCAAGGCACAACACACACACTCATTTACTTGTCTCTGACAAGTGGAAATGTCTTTGAATTTATGCTGCTGTTTTTTTAACAATGAAAACATTATTATGTGAGGGTGCAAATGGATGAAGCTGTAAGTGACACTGAGGGTAACACTTGTGCAACCTCTTACGTAACCTGAGCCAGATCTATCGAATCCATACCATCCCATCCTATCTTAGATCCATTCTAATATTTTCCACCCACCTACGCCTTGGTCTTCCCTGTGGTTTCTTTCCTTCTGGCTTTCCCAGCAATATCCTATACGCATTCCACGTCTCCCCCATTCATGCTACCTGACCTACCCATCTAATCCTCCTTGACTTGATCATTCTAATTATACTTGCAGAAGAGTACAAGTTATGAAGCTCCTCATTATGCAGTTTTCTCCAACCTCCTGTCACTTCATCTCTCTTTGGGCCAAATATTCTCCTCAACACCCTGTTCTCAAACACCCTCAGTACACAATTACCCAAAACATGTAATAACTTTCCTGATTTTACAGACTTTCAACCACCTGCCACAGCTAAACTGTAAGAGATAGTAGATTCTAAAGGGTTTTGAAATGGTGGATAACACAGAATTACTGGGTTTTTTAACTTCTTCCATTGTTTGGAATTCTAGGAATAGAAAACATGACATTTCGGAAACTGGATCTATTTTCATCTTCAGGTGAGGAAGGATTGAGATTAGCTCTTTCTAAGGGAACCAACTGAGTAGGTGTCTTCCTTTGCCACCTGAAGACGGAAACAGATCCAGTTTCCTAAATGTCTTATTTTCTATAGCTTTGATGTCCATTTGAAGAGAAATTTAATTCACAAGAGTACATACTTGCAAGGATGTATTAAAAAGGCAACAGTTAAATGATGGTTGGAGCATTTGAGACTGACCACTCTGTACAAACGCTACAACACTGAGATAGATCCAACATTTTTAAAGTGGATAACATGCTCAAAAATACTTATGAATTAGATGAAATCAACAAACATTCTTTCGACAAAATGTGGACAGTTTATCCTGCATGAACTACATTTCGTACTTTAGCTATCATAGACCTATCTTGAGCACAACCAAGCTCCTCAACTCACTAACATAACTTCAAACTAAAGGTGTTGGGTAATTTCAATAAATAATGCACTGTACATATAGTAATGTTTCAATAAAGCTTCAATTTTAATGTACAAAGTACATTTAATCCAATATCCCAATTTAATAATGCTTTCATTTTTTCTATACTTCATCTCAGATGTCAGTAAGTTTGTAATTGGTATGTGTTTGAATGTTGAGGTGAAGAAAAAGCTCAGTGAAAGACAGTGGGATAGATAGGTGTGGTTTTCCTATCGAGAAATGTCTCGGAGGTAAAATTATTATCTAGTGAACTGAGTCAGCATTTGTTATCTGTATGTATTGTATATTCATTACTTGAAAATTGTAATATTTGAAGCCACAAGAACATTTCTGATAATAAGAGTGGAATGTGAATGATAACTAAAGTTATCCCCTCCCCCCTGCATTCTGTGATAACTGTAATGAAAATTAGGGATGTATAAACATTTTTAATTGTTCAAAAACTTTATGTGTCCAAGTTTAAAGTTCAAAGAAAGACTGCTGAATTCTGCATGTGAAAAAACTCCACTCTTCTTGAATGGATCTTAAATAAAATTTAGCATTGATATTCCTTGATGAAATTTATTGACAAACATTAGTTTTGATGCACAGGAAACACTTTGAATTACCATTTTATGTGGAACTGAAAATCTTAGCTCTGAAGAAATGCCAAGTTAATTTTAACTGTTTGTTGTATAGTTTGCTAAATAAGTACCAACATTTTGAAGGAACCAGGTATCTCCATCTTCTGCTCTTAAGATTGAGCCAAACTGTCCACCAAACTGCATGGTATCACTTGCAGGATGTCTGTAAGCTTGTCTACTGTATACTTGTTCCACAACATATGAATGCTTGACTTATGAGCATCCATACATACGAATGGCATAAGAACTGATCATATTAATCTAATTTATTTAGTTTTCTCAACTTACTTGTCTGTGGAAGTGTAATGTGCTCTTTAGTATTCATTTAAAAGGTAAACCACATACCGTATTTATAGGTTAAATAGTCTTTGTTCCTAAACTTAGTATCAGATGTTACTGTGCAGCAGGATGCTACAATATAATACTAAACTTAGGTACTCAACTAATGTTTACTACATTATTTATTTTGGAAAACGGCATGTTTTAAATTAAAAATGACTCAACTTTTGAACAGGGCTTTGAAACAACCGGCTCAGAAACTGAGGATCAAGTGTACTTTGTGCTCTTTAGCAGTTGTATATTTTGTAATGCATGCTGGATAATAAAAAAAGAATGTAAGTTATTAGATAACTCCATGAAGTATTTGAGAAGCTGGTAGTTGTTCAGCTGCTCAAGATAATTCCCCTCTTTGTATGGAATCCAAATGCTTACAAGAGCCAACCACTGGAGCCTATTCTGAGCCCATAATTAAGTCCCATAAGTAACACACGCAAATAGTCAGTTGTACCCCATCTCCTTTGTATAGTGCATTTCACATTTCCACAGTAAAATATTATCAGTACCCACAGAACATACACAGTACTTACTTACAGGCTGCTTACTTGTTACTGACTAGTGCATTCATGCAGCATGTTAATGCTTGACATTTTGTTGCTATGATAAGGCAAAATTACATATTTTCAGAGATTTCATCTCACTGTTACATTTGTTTTTACTTTCTGATGTATGTAGTGTATATGAGAAAGTGCTGTGATTGTTGAAAAATTCAAATTTGAGATTTTGACAGATTTGCACATTTCGAGCCCCTTAAATGTGAATAAGTAGGCCTTGGAGTGCTGTCTATATACATATAAGGATTTACTCCTTAGCAGTGTGTGAATGGTTGGATGAAATTTATTCACATATGGTATTCAACAGTCTGTTCACCGTGGGTTGGTGTCCAGTGGTGTCCAGCTCCAAAAATGGGGGCCTTTCAGATGGGATCTAAAAGACAAAATCACAGTTCTCTCAAAACTGCTGTAATGATTTTGATTAAGTTTCAGTAATTTATGGAGACCATATTCTTAAGTAAAACTGCATAGATGGTATCGTCAGGAAACTAATAATACAGGTACTAAGGGCTCAAACAAGAAATGTCAGTATTCTTGAAAGTGGCTTTACCAGTTGGATGGATTTCATTGTTCTTCAATATTCAGCAGTCAGCAGTGGTCTACCTAGAAACAATCAATTTCATTTTCAAGGTAATATCAATATCAATATGAGAAAATATGTGCAATGTCTACACCAGATTTTTTATGTATATAGAAGAAAATCAGACTTTCCATTAAATTTTCAATCGGTATTATGGTTCTAATATCATTATCTAATTTTGGAAATGCATTATAGCTCATTAATAACTTTTTAATTCCATGTAGCAGACCCCTTCTTGAGAAGCTAATACTCATTCAGGCAGTGAAGAAGTGCCCCTCCATTTATGCAATCCAAATGTTCATTTCTATATTCACAGAGCTCACCACTAGCCTCTATCCTGAGCCAACTGAAGTCAGTCCACAATCCTTCCACCCCATGTTTTAGGTCCACTTTAATATTAGGCCTGATAATAAAGTAATCCAAAATTTAATAAATTACTACCTCAGTAGCTCATCTTGTAACACAGGATATGCTCAAGGTGAAAACCACAATGAAATCTCATTTCAAGTTGCTGGTTTTCAAAGTAGTGTCATATGGTACTCTGTGCAGTATATAGTACGGTATACTTGTATGATTGTTTCCCATAGATCTTATACATTTTGTTTGTATAGAATCAGAAGGGAGGTATTGGATGGCATGCAATCTGGAGAGTGTAAAGGATTGGGGAAATTAATACTTCTGGAAATGAGGGCAACTGAGAAAGCCCTGCAGCATTACCACTGTTGCTGTTGCTGCATGGGCTCTAGCACCATCTTTCTTAAGCCAATGCATTTTGAGAGACAAAAACAATTTTTAATGCTTCAACTTCCACATTTTTCAAGCACTGTTATACCAACCAGACCGGTCTCTTTACCAAGTACACTGCAACCACTATTATTTTTCTTCTTGTTCTCTTGATTTTACTTGGAAGTAAGGTTCAACTTACATTCTTTGAACAGATGCAAATTTCAGATGTTCAAAGAACATAAACACGAGTATATTCTGTGTTGTACAAAGAAACAATAAAAAAGTGGAAATGAGTATGTACAGCACTGGTCCAACAAACATGCAAAATGGAGATTAATGTATTCAGGGTTGCCCCTGAACGGTTTTACATCTTCAGTCACTGCCATGGGAACCTCAAAATCTTGTATCTGTTTTGTATGTTTTGACGATGGTGGTTTTCTGAACTGAACTTCATATATTTCTCTAACTGCTTCCCCAGTTGAGTATTTTCTGTATGAACAGAAAAATTGTTACAGTTGAGACACATTCATTGCATTTGTGGCATCTTAACTGAACACAAAGCACAAAGAAGCTAACACTCTCTCTGATATGTGACAAGGCTTAGTTATATAGTATAGGTACATACAGAGATGGTGTCATCTTTAGAGCTGCTACCCAAACATCCCCCCCCCAACCAAAAAAAAAATTTCTTTCCTCATTCTATGACCAGGTAAGTGTTGGGTTAGAGATATGAAAAATGCAACTTCAAGACTGAGGATGTGATTGGACAAAGATATGGTAATTGATGAGTATGGAGCAAATGGTTGAATGATGAGTAGCAGGAGGAATTGAAAGAATGTCAGAGAAAAATCTGCTTCAGGGCCACTTTGTTAACACAGGATTGAAGCCAAGGCCCTGCAAAGATAGCTAGCTTCTGACCCTCTGAGCTATGGCATGACCACCAAATAATACGTACTACATATACATATATTTTTTGATTTACATACACATTAAATACAAAATACCACANGAGGCAGATGCCTCTATGGATTTTTTTGGAACTGTAAATAAATGAATGAATGAATGAATGAACAACATAGTATGCAAATAAATACTGCAGTGCAGCATAAGTCATAATCACAAAGGGGTAAATGGCACATTTGCATAAAATATGTCGCAGATGCATCTGATAGAAGAAACTCTCTTCTTTTACCTTTCTCTCTGACATCATACCGAGAAAGCCATTATTATGAAAAAAATTAAAAGATTTTAACACAAACTGTATTTTTGTTATTCTTGTAGTTCACTACAATTATTCTCTTGCTCTTGAGGAGTTAAAACTACATACTTTATGTACTAGGAGACATCACCTTGATGCTGTCTTTCTTATTCAAGTTTATTTTGGCTCTAAATTCTGCCCTTCTGCCCTGGAAATTGTTGGTCTCCGAGTTCCTGCTCGGTATATCAAGAGATTTTGCATTGTTCAATGTTTGCTCCTTATTTAAAAATTGTCCCTCTGCTAGATGCGCAGCAGCTGCTAATGTTGTCTGCAGGGATGTTGACGTATTCGGAGCCTTGAATATTCTACCCAAATAAATTTTAAATATAGTATAACTGTTAATATTTTATTATTTGCATGTCCAGTAAAACAAAATGAATTACGTATATTATTATTATCCTCTGTAATTCTATATTATTCATTTCTTAATTAAATATTTATGTTTCATTCCTGAATTCGTAATAACACTTAGTTTAATGATAATGAAATTATTATTACTGTCATAATTATCAGCTATTTGTTTGTTTACTTTTACTTTATTCATTATTATTTCTTCCAAGTGTTAACCTGTAATTTGTATTTGAGTTTTAATAAGATTGTGTATAATGTAATTCATTCTTCTGCACTGTGCTGTGTCTGTAATTGGCCTTGCGGCTGTTGACTCGGCACATTAATAATAAAGAATTGAATTGAATTGAAAATTATGGTTTTGAAATGACTGGGCTCACTATTACATACCTTTAACTTCTTAATGGTTTACTGATCTTTCTAGTATATACAACTGTTTATATTTTACACAGGTACTCTATGGACATGTCTCTAATAGATAAGCCTTCTGTCATGAGATGCAGCAGAATTTGGTAGATGGGTACCAATATATTGGAAAAACCTGCTGTCTCCATCTTCATTCTAACCTAAATATAGAGGTAGCACATTTCTCCAGAATGTTGTGATTATCTGTCAAACCACATGTAATCACATTCCAGAATACAATAATTTTAATATTCACTGCCATGAGAACCTCAAATCTCACATGGATCCAATAATTTAAAAACAAAGAACACTTTATATGGTGGCTGAATTTCAAAATCAAATCTCAGAAAGAGCTCTAATAATCCTGATCAAATGTAATTGATTTATTGAGAGTTTAATACAAAGTAATACTCCATATGTTCTGTATTTCACTAATTTCTTTGTGTCTTTCAAAAGCACTCTTTGTTCTATTTATGCTATGGACATGAGAAAGTTGTGTTTGAAGGTTCCTTTGTTGCACTCTGTACTTCAAATGGCAGCTAGACTTTTTCCCGCCATGGTGTCACTTATGGCATGGACCCAATTGCTTGGCTTAAATGCAATGCAGAAATAAGTCCAGGCCTAATTTTCAGAACTGACATTATCTACTGCAACTACAAAGTCGTTCACTACCCAGTACCATCATAATACTTGCGACTGCACTGCCAAATGAATTAACATCTATCACTAAGCACATATGTGTCCATTACTGAGGGGAAAGATCAGAGTCACTTCCATCCATTTCTCTGAGTTCAGGGAATGAACCGCATTTTACTTCAGGATTCATCTGAGTACCCCGTCCACAGCTGTATGCTTGAGAAAACTCCTCAGAATTCTGTGCCAAGTTAGCCACTCTGTAAAGTAAAGCAAATAAATGAAATCCACTGGCTGTGTCTGTATGCTCTACCATGTTTCAACATTATGTTTTTGGACTATGATGATATTTATTAAAAGAAAGGCCAATTTTTGAGCAGCTGAGCAGCTACTGGCTTTTCATGGAGACAGTGTATGCAGGTGGGACACCTTCTTACCTAAGGAAGGGTGGCATTTGCTCACTCTCAAACAGTTGGACTGTGTAGTCCAGCATACCTCCCTTGGTACACAACTCCTGTAACAAACCATTGATTGCATTAGACTAAATTACAACTCTCAGTGGCCAGTAAGCCTTGTACCTTAGTTGCAGTTGGTGGGTAGCAGCAGCTATCCTGACAAGTTTCTCATGGTTTTCTGTCCCCCCAGGAAAATACCAAGTTAGTACTTGAAATCAGGCCACATCCTTTCCAGTTTCTTACTCATCAATCGATCTATCATTTGACACTATATAGTCTGAGCTAATAACATTATTAAATAAGCCATAAATAAATTAATGGCCCCTATATTAGACAGCTGCATCAAAAGCTCACCTGTGCCACCAACATGTAGTATAACTTGTCATGACTCATGTCTAGCCATGGCAGGAGAGGCTCCAATGCAGCATTCTTTCTGAATGTCTGGTATGATAAATGTAGTGCACTGCTGTCTGCAAAACGTTCATTCATAGACTGTGATGCTTCCGTCTGTGAAAATAATATGACCATTGCCTTATTTGTCTCAAATCACATATTTTCAGAAAACAAGCTATGTTAGAACTGCCAAGCTGTTTCAAAAAAATTAAGTGACACAAAATTAGCTGCATAAAGTGTTGAAAGTTAAATATTTTAATGACTATCTAATAAGACAAAACATTTGAATTTAGACATCAGTAATAGTTCTAGTATGAAGTGTACAAGCTACACAGTAATCTTCCCTATCTGCTATTATATCATAAACGTACGTATGCTAGTGCTGTTTCTAATTCATAACCTTGTTCAAGCAATCCAAAACATAAAACATAACAAACATAAACATCCAAAACATAAAAACATAAAAATTAGAATATACAAAACTATATTTTGCCTGTGGTTCTGTATGGGTGTGAAACTCGGTCTCTGACATTAAGGGAGGAACATAGACTGAGGGTGTTTGAGAACAGGGTGTTGAGAAGAATATTTGGACCGAAGAGAGATGAAGTGACAGGAGGTTGGAGAAAACTGCATAATGAGGAGCTTCATAACTTGTACCCTTCTCCAAGTATCCATAATTAGAATGATCAAGTCAAGGAGAATGGGGTGGGCAGGTCATGGAGCATGAATGGGGGAGACGAGGAATGCGTATAGGATATTGGTGGGAAAGCCAGAAGGAAAGAGACCACTGGGAAGACCAAGGCGTAGGTGGGTGGACAATATTAGAATGTATCTTAGAGAGATATGATGGACTGGTTTGATCTGGCTCACGATAAGAATCAGTGGACTGCTCTTGTGAACAAGGCAATGAACCTTCAGGTTCCATAAAATTTTGGGAAGTTCTCGAATAGCTAAACAACTGGCACCTTCTCAAGAAGGACTCAGCTCCATAAAGTAAGTTAGTTAGCTAAACAAGATTTCACAGGCAATAATGGACATCCTTGTAGAGGCGTTATCTAGCACCACTGGTATATTTTCTGTTACTTCAGACACATAAATAAATACCTTGTAAGTGAAGATCTGATGTTCTTGATTAGTCCATGACTTTTCATATGAGTAAGTTGCCTCATCACAGTATTTGATGTTACTATAATGGTATCTTGTGGCATCAGACAAGAGATTTACATCCTTTCCATTTGATCCATATTCAATTCCTGGAATGATACCAATTGTAAGATTTGAGGTTACCATGACAGTGAAGAATTATGCTGCAGTCCTTTGTATTACGATACTGTGTTGTTGTCTGGTAAGTGGGTACCATGTTTGGCAGGAACATACTGCCCCATCATTAGGGTAGAAAAAAAAGGAAAGAGTATATTCCTTCCAAATTACTGGTACCCACTAAGTGCATGGTCATAACCCATAAGGTAAAGCTAAAGATGTTCCTGTCCTAAACTAATCAAGCACTATGCCGTGAAGGTATATGGGGGAGTGGTCAGCTTCACTCCCTGGCCGCTTTACCCCCGGGGAAAGAGTCCGAGGTACCCATTGGATAGGAGATTGGGTGGGCCCCAAAACCAGTCTGGAGAAAGGAAAATTCTTGACCCTACCAGGACTCAAACTCCGACCCCTATGTCATCCAGCCTGTAGCCAGAAGCCATACTGACTGTGCTATCCTGGCATCATTATGATACCAGAAGTATGCAATACTAAATGCTGAATAAAACTTAAACAAAGATATGCTGAACAAAAGCATGAAGTAAATGTCATATCGTTGAGTATTATCTATGCAGGTCCATCATAAGAAACAAAAAACCAAAAGAGAAGTTACACACACATGCCCGCACGCACTCACACATACTTACTAGCTCACTCAGTCATGCAAACACTAACTCACTCTCTCTCTATTGGCTTTTACAAGATGTGAAAGGGTGTATGGTTTATAAGCTCTGTTGAGGCTGTCTGACGATTAATAACTATGTAGGTCATACCGAAAGTTATGAGCAACTATTTTTTTGCATGCAACCTGGGAACAGCAGACGAAAGAGAGTAGGGTGGCAGGTGGAACCAGCTGTTGTCTTAACCTTGAGTGTCTTGTGATGTCAATAGCTTGCATCACGTGACCAGTATCACTCCTAACAAAATGGCCGACAATGATATGTTGTTTCACCAGCGTGCTCTCATCGAATTTCTTGTGAAAGAGGAAATGCCTGCTGCAGAAATTCACCAGAGACTTCAGCGTGCTTATGGAAGTGTGTGTATGGGTGTGAGCAGTGTTCGAAGATGGGTGAAACATTTTAAAGATGGGAACACCAGCATCGAAGATGAGCCTCAGAGCGGTTGTCCTCAAACAAACTCAACCGAACACAAGGAAAGAGTGGATGAGATCATTTAAGATCACAGGCGTGTGACTGTGGACACAATAGCCCAAAAACTTGGAATAGGGCACAGTGCAGTACAGGAGATGATTGAAAGCTTGAGCTATATGAAAGCTTGTGCTCGTTGGGTCACGCAGTTATTGACCGAAGACCACAAAGGTCAGCGAAAAGCCATCACTTCAGAACTGCTGCAGAGATATCAACACGAAGGCGATGATTTTTTGCTCTGTATTGTGACNCAAAGTGGGGGTGGGAAGTTCTTCCACACCCCTCCTATAGCCCTGATCTGGCACCCTCCAACTACCATATTTTCGGATTTGTGAAGGATCAGCTGCGTGGACGTTTTGAGACAAGGGAGGCAATTCAGAAAGCAGTGCGTCAGTGTCTTTGGATGGCTGGAACGGAATTTTACAGAGGGGGAATTTTCAAACTGCCAGAACGCTGGGAGAAATGTGTACAAAGAAGTGACGATTATGTGGAAAAATAAAGAAAGGTCTGTAGATTGAGGTGTTTTATTTGGTTTGTCAATAATAAAGCACGTTATTTTACAAAAAAAATGTTGCTCATGACTTTCAGTACGACCCTCGTATGTTCTCTGTGAATTGAAGTACACACAAACATACACGCATATATCAGTCACTTTTCTGTAGAAGCTTCTTGAGAACGTTGTCTACTGAAATGGGGATGGCCATGTAGGTCTATATGCATATGACTGAACTCAAGAACTTTGGCTTACAGAACAATTCTGTATGATGTTTGGATGCACAGAGGATCAGTTTACAAAACTATTCCATCTTCTTGGTGCAGCATTAGACATAGATTTTTTTCAGAAATTATTCGAACTAAAATGTATTTTCCTGTATTCAAAAAGTTCAAACCAATGAAGTACGTGACCTTTAAGTATGTCATTTACTTACTACAATTTCAATTTTATTGTATCACAGTGAACATATATACCTGTAGTGTCAAAATGGTGTGCTATCTGGCGGGCTATGTCGTTGCCAACCCGAGCTTTGAAAACATAAGCTGGTAGATCAGGTGTGGATTGTGGAGACCCAATCAACCCAAATGGGATCACTGTCACATATAACAAGATTAGAGGTAACATACACACTTTGACAACAATTATATTGTTTTTCATATATTTAACAATTTGTTTTAAAAATAAGAAATGGAAAAGGAATGAAATCCTTGATTTTACTTACCAACAGTATTGAGTTGATATATAGCAATAGCTTGGGTGTCATAGGGCAGAAGAAAGTGTGTCCAGCTGAAAACAAGAAAAGTTGTATTTATGTTTCAGTCAGAATCAATACCATGGAATTTTCTTTTTAAAAATATAGGTGTAACTACTCTAATGTGACAAAAAGTAGACAGAGACACTTTTAAGTTTTAAACAAAAGAAGTAAACGCATAAAATGCAAAAAAAAAAAAGACAAACACTGAAGTTTATCCTTATTTCAACTTCCATTATTCAATCATTCTTTTGCTAACAAATTTCAAATTAATTTAAAATTTT